TTGCTATAATTATTGTTGTGTAGTTTCTTGATTTCTTTGTTGGATTTATTGATAATTTTTAAGCCATGTGAAGTATGTATGCATTGGAAAGTTTGGAGAACAGACGAACTTTCGCAAATTATGTAGTCTCTAATAATGCCGAAGATCTTTTTGCACCATTTGACACTGCTCCCAAGGCAGGAATTGTTGATTAGTAGACTTTTAGGAAAGTGTAATGGAGGGTTGCTCCATTGAATAGTTTTGGATATTGTTGGTTTGGATTTAGGTTTGGTGTATATAATTTGGATATTGTTGGTTTGGATTTAGGTTTGGTGTATATAATTTGGATAGATTTTTGTTGTATTTGTTAATTTATTTTTTGGATTAATACAGAGAAGTTGATTTTGATCATTCTTCTGAAGTACTTAGGGATTGGTTGAAGGATTCTCTTGTTACTCCTTATTTTGATAGTATTGCAATGTGGATTCCACTGGGTGATATTCAATATTGCAAATAGAATGTTACCTGGTGATAGGTATGAATTGAGGGGTATAACTTTGGTATCATTTATAATTAGGTTCTCCTTGTGTGATTGAATATGAATGTAATGCTGTGAGCCAATTTCTTGTGATAGAGTTTGGGGGCTGAGATTGTTAGGGATGTTGATTTCTTGTAACATATGTTTGCTATCTTGTGGTGAGTTAGAAATTTTCTCTAATATATTGAATAAACGATATTTTGGACTGTTGAATGGATTGAATGATATCCATAGTGTTGAAGCAGAAGGGCTTGTGAATTCTAGCTAACAGAAGCCATTGGAGGTTGAACCGACTGGGCAGCCTGGGCATCTGATAAGATTGTTATTATAATTGGTTGTAAAGTGTTTTCCTTTAAGTATTATCCTTTCATATACTAGTTAGTGTCTTTTGCGGACTTGGACTATTGTACTGATATTGTGGAGAAACCAGAATATTGATTTGGGATTTGGAACTGGACCATGGGATCCATATAAGTTTTGTGTATTTGAGAATGTTTTAAACCAATTGGGTTCTGGACCAAGGTGAATTATGCCTGTATGAAAGATGAGTTGGGGCCATATAAGTTTGATAGTGCTTTGGAATTTTAGTAATTGGTTGGTGAATTTTATATTGAGGACGTTGGCTGTATTGATTGTTGTTTTTTTAAGTTGGGGTTGAAGGGAAGAGAATAAAAAACCAATTGAGTTTTCGGTATTGTTGAAATAGAAAGGATATTCAGTTGGACATATTTGAATTTCGAAGTCTTTGGCTGTTTTTGCTACATATAAATATATATATATATATATTAAATTTATATAAAAGATATTATATATAATTAATGTTTCATATATACTCCATATGTAGAAAAAACTTGATGTTTAACTAGATATTATATATTAATAAAGTTGTATATTGTAATACATTCACCTTAAAATATATATACAGTATATATATTAAATTAATTGAATCGAATAGAATCAAATAGAATAGAATTGAATTGAATAGAATAGAATTAAATAGAATCAAATTGAATTGAATCAAATCGTTTAGATACTTATCCTCTCCTACCTCTTTATTTTTCTTTTCCTATTTTCTCACCTTTCTTCTATATACTTTTTTTTATCTTTTACCCTTTCCCTCCTCTTTTTTCTTCTTTTCCTGCCATAGTTAGGTTTTTTCCTTTCTCCTGAAGGTTTTTTTCTCTAGGCCTCTCTTTTTTTTGAAAACTCTGTCTCTATAATATCACTTCTCTGGCCAGTTGACTTTCTTTTCTCAAGAACTATATTAAGAAGCAGTAATCTTTCTCAAGACGTGGGCTTTAGAACTTTTTTTCTTTTCCATGGTTCCTCAGAAAAAGGATGAACAGCTTATCCTCTCCAAAAGATTGACATGGCTATTATTATCAAACCCAGTATTGTTTATTAATTGGCAGTTAGACTAGATATGCCCAAGAAATCTTTGTATAATCATTATTATCAAAAAGTACTTAAGAAGTTGTACCCCACAATATCCAGAGTAAAATGGCAGCCAATGTCAATACAACTAGCAATAAGCTAGGTTAGTTGCAGATGTTATGCTGGTAATTGGGAAACTTAGTAGAGTAATATATGATGACTAGGGATTCTAGTTATTTCCACAACATGAGCTGGTGACGATAATAAAAGTTTCTTGTTTACTTCTTTAACAATATAGGTCTATTGTATAAGATTAGGTTCCGGTGCCATTAAGAAAACCAATATAAACTTTACCCATAAGATACTTTCACTACACTTGAAGCATGGATGTGCCAAATTCTTTTTGTGACTTGGAGGCAAACCTGTATAAAGTGACTGCAACACTTTTATGCAAAAAGGTACTTATTTTTTACCACCTCTGACATTACTTTGCTTGCCGTATATCAAGTCATATTTGAAAAGCAGGCATATTAATTCTAATTATAACTTGGAGACCAACCTGTATAGATTGGCTGCAGTACCTTCATGTGATTAGATATTTATTTATTTCTAGATAGCTAGTGTTATCGGTACATGACGAGTCTGTCGCTAATCCGGACCAGATCGTCGTGTAACAGTAAGTATGTAGGGCTTGTGTCACTTGCTAACCAGAGGCACTTGTTGATAAACTCACTTCTTTCTAGTTGCCGGTCTAATCCTATACCACAAGCCATTGTGATCCCTCAAGATTCTATAAGCGGCAAACAACCAATTAAGGCAAGTTTATTAATTATGCTGTGCAATTGCAAGTATTACAAGTTTATACAATATTGATAATTTCTTCCTATTTTAACTAGCTAAACTCTTCCTATTTATACTCGCTGTGACGCGTATGCTGATATACCATCGCATCCTGCAAACCCCCGATTAGACTATTTAGGCTTTATGATGCAGGGTTCGATGGATCGCGCCATATCACATGACTGACGACGATCCTAGCAACCCACACATTTTTTCCCGCTAACACTAGACACCATTTATAAATATAATATAGATTTTTGAATTTCTTTTTGTCTATATTTCTTGAATGAAGCTAAAAAAGTACAAGGGTCTGGTCCTATACAGAAGCCTTATGTTAAACTCTTCCTAACAAAAAGAAATATATGTCGTGCTATTGAGTATTGTATCTTGCTTTGCAAGTGAAAATATAATAAATATAATAAAGCATGATAGCCATTTGCTCTTTTCAAAAAAAAAAAAAAAAAAATTTTTTTTTGCATTTCTTAAAAGATATAATTAGTTTATTTAACTTGAAATTATTTCAGAATTGTTTTTAATATATAAAAATAATAATTATTATATATTATAATTTTATTTTTAAAATTGATAAAAAATCTAATTACATATTTTATAATATTTGATACAATTGTATATTTATAAAATTTATAAATTATATTTTGACCAATGTACAAATCTAAATTATAAAATTTATCAATCTTTTTTTTTTATTTATATAAGAATTAATTAAAAAAAAATAACTTTTGTTATATTTGAATAACTTTTACAATAAGTCAAAATATAAAATTACTCAAAATATTACTAGACTATTATTAATCTTAAACTCTTATTCTGGTTTTTTCACAAATAATTAATTAGACCATAAATAAAGAAATTAATATAAAATATAATAAAATGTGAATATGATAGATAATTAACAAATTAAAAATAAGATAAGCTAAATATTTGTAGAGATTCTACGTTGTTCTCTTGCAGACAATGGCTAGACCTCGGAAACGCAATAAAATACGGAATCCGTCCTTAAAAATTTCACGAAAAAACGCGAATAAACACTTCAAAAAATTTCGTGTCAAAGTAATTATTCGGCAGTAAGTTTGCATTATCCAAGCATTCAATTTCTAACTTCAATTATTTTTAGGGCAATGCCCTTATTGCCGACAATTGGGACAACAAAGCTACCCTTCGTCAAAAGTATATATTTCGCTTGTTGCGTCAAATAGTCAGCAAGAGTCTTGCTAACTTTATGTCTATTCAGCTATCAGCGTCTTGGCCTCATGACTTCACTCAATGGTGTTTCAGGTGGTGTTGAAAAACTGTATCCCGAAGAACCTCCGTTAGTATTAGACAAAGAAGAGTTGAAAAAAACTCTTGGTCCCGATGAAGGTATTATTGAACGCGATGAACAAGGAAATGTGATTAATGTTATAATAGGAAAGGGACACGAAGAAGAAGATACCGAGATTAAGCCAGCACCCGCGAAAACAGACGTTGTTAAAGGTTCGTTTTAGTTTTATCATAAAGTATTTATCAAGTCAGATTAACATGTTGGAATTCTTGGAAAAAAGCTCTGGAGGAACAAGCATCTAAAGTGTACAAACACGAGAAATATCAATCCGAAGGTGAAAAGCGGTTTTGTGAAGAGCTAATCAGCAAATATGGAGACGATTATCAGTCCATGTTCAGAGACATAAAACTCAATGTGTACCAACATACCGAAGCTCAGTTAAAGAAGAAGTGTGAAAAATATTTGAAGGAAAGAAATGTGTCGTAGAAACATTTTCAAAATAAAAAAATTTATCGCAAAATACATAATATACATAAATATCATTTTTTTGATTTTCCCCTTCGACTGGGTCTTGCATTCTTTGCCCTTCGTTTCTCCTTTAATTTCCTTCGTTTATGGATCTGCTCTACCGTTCTTAGCTCATTATTAGAATTGAAATTACCTAAATCTTTATCATTGCCTAATTTTCTATCTCCAGTATTTTTCAAAAGGTTTCGTTTTTTCTTTTCATAATCTTTTGCAAGGGGATCCAATGGTTTCGGTGCGGTCATTTTTTTATGCCGAAATCGTTTATTGTCAACAATTTTCGAGGAAAGTTCCTTCTCCCCAGTACGTGGAATTTCAAATTTATTTTGTTTTTTCCAAGCATCAAACCTAATAACGAAGATGGAATCTAATTATTCGAAGGTCACAATGGATGAATGAGTTGTTTAGCAAGGCAAACTTTACCTTCCACTTTTATAAGTCGCCGGCAGTTTCACGCCACTTTCAGTTTTGATTAGTTTCTTGTTGTCAGAACCAATTCCACCACCTCGAACAAAAGTCTTTTTCTTGTTATCCCATCTTAATCCACCCTTTTTATTTGCACTGTCAATGAGTTCATCATCCCGAGTATCCATGACTGCCTTTCGTGATTCTTCAACAAACGATGTGCCTTGGTTGACGGAATATCTAAGAGTATAATGTCAGAAATAAATAATAGGTTGAAGTCGAAAGTTCAAAAAGAATAATCACGAACCCTCTTTCCGTGTTCGCATCTTTTTGATAATGCGGAATATAATATTGATCATCACGAAATTGTTCTTTTTTCGGTTTTTTACCTGAATAAATTTAGAAATGTTAAAATCAGAGCTTTTGAAAACTTCACATAATAAATTCACCTACGTGATTCTACGGTATCACTCGCCTTTCTTTTCTTCGTTATGTCACTGTGTTTCAACTGAATGAATGTGGATCAATTAGATTATGAAAAATAGTTTCACGTAGAGATAAATTACCTCATCTTCCTTATTTCCCGTGTTCAAGTTTTCAACCGCCCCAAAAAGGTCGATGGTCCTATGAGATTCTATTTTCTTAGACACCGTTTCTCTATGTTTTTTCATTATGCGGGCCGCCAAAGATGCTTTTCGGTTGCCGTGACTGCCTATCTCAAAAATTGTCTAAGCACGAATAAAAAACGCAGTTTTTAAAACCGAATAGACACGGCAATAATGAATGGAATAAATTATTGAAAATAACCTCCTGCGGACGAAAATTTGAAATAGAATTTATGAAGTTTAAACGATTTCTTTCGTTGGCATCAACTTGATTTGCTAGAAACAAACCACATTAACAACGTGATAACATTAAATCGGCAGTTGTAAGTCCTTCGTTGGAAAAGAAAAGTGGAACTAACCAAAAAGCAAATGCACGTCAGTGTAACTTTCCATCATCATAATTTCCTTGGACCTCTTATAACTTTCCGGAGAAGCCGATAATCGGGATCTGCAAAAAAGCTTGTAGCCATTTTTCGAGACCTCACATAAAGATTCAAGATTATGAATTCCTTGCAGTTTGCTTTTTACCCATTCGATGTAAGGATCCAAAGAATCAGGTGGGAAGCGCCCAACAATTATGTCGGAAGTATAATCAGGTGTTGAAGCGGTTGATGAGCCAATTAATAAGCGACGACCAAGGAAAAGCTGAAGATCGAGCAGATAGGGAAGCTAGAAACATTCACGATGAAAATAATTACCAATTAGTTACCTATAGACAGAATGTGACGGGGCGTCATAAACATTTTACCTCTTCAGGAGTCACCAAAGAATATGCGAATCCACGTCTACCAGCCCTGGCTGTTCTTCCGACTCTATGGACAAAAATCTTGCTACTATCAACAAAGTCATAGTTGATAACGTTTTCAAGAATTGGAATGTCAATTCCGCGAGCCGCAATATCCGTCACAATCAATATATTGGTTTGACCGCATCGAAAGTTGTTGATTTGAATTTTCCGGGCGTCCTGATCGAGCGAACCATAAATGTAGGAAACTTGATGCCCAAATAGGGACAAAAGATTGGCTACATATTCTACATGATGTTTTGTTGAGACAAATACAATCGTCTGATGCGAAATTGATGTAAATTCTTCGGTGCGCGACGAAACGTTGTTGGCCACCTCCGAAGTTGACTTGGTGGCGGTAGGCACTTTAATAACTTCGTGAAGGATATATAACAAAGCAGCTTCTTTTTCAGCTTGTTTCACGGAAAAGAATGCCATCTGAATATGAGCATCGGAATTTTAATTAAACAATACTAAAGGGAAAGGAATTTCGCAAGGAAATTTAAAATGATTGTACCTCCAGGTCGGAGCTTATTTTAGTATCGACATCCAGTCGTACCAAAGTAGGCTCTTGAAGTCCAGCCTTTGCAAAATCAACTAGTGACTTGGGAAGGGTGGCGGAAAAAAGTAGGGTTTGTCTGGAGTGTGGTAACTTATGTAATATCTCGTGTAATTGAACGGAAAATCCCAATTCGAACAATCTTGATGATAAAATTTCGATCAAATGAATAAAAAATGATAATAAGAAGAGAGTGATAATAAGAAGAGAGTGACAATAGAAGAACAAAAAAGATATTACCGATCGGCCTCATCAAACACTATATATTGAATAGTCTTAAGTTCCATCTCCATTTCCACGATCAAATGAAGAAGACGTCCTGGAGTTGCTATGATGCTTCAATATTGAATGTTTTTTTAAGAATAATTGAAAATCATCAAATAAATCTGAACTGAAAGTAACGAACTGAAAAGTACATGTCTGGATTTCCCGTGATCATTTCAAATTGGTCTTCTAGGTTGTCACCACCAACTACTACACAACTTCTCAGATTTGTATATTTAGCAAGTTCCGTGCATACTTTTCGAGTCTGGAATGCCAATTCACGCGAAGGAGATAATATAATTGCTCGCGCACCAACCTATTAAATTAAAGTCATCAACTATTTACAAAGTCGACGGATTCTAGGAGAATTCCAAGACAAATAATACCTTTGCTGAGTGAACTTTTAGCTTTTCCAACATTGGTATCAAAAATGCAGCAGTCTTTCCAGAACCCGTTCTTGCCATTCCAACGACATCTCGCCCGTCCATAATTAATGGTATTGTTTTGCGCTGTATTGGTGTTGGAACCTTGTATCCTTTATGTAATATCGCTTTATAGATCGAATAGCTTAAACCTTTCATTTATGTAAATGTTAAAGTCTATCGGAGAAGATACCAAAACAGGAGGGTACATCTATCGGAGTATGTTACCCATTGATTGAAAACCGCCAGATTTTTTCTTTTTCCTGTTCTGGGCTTGGATTTGTTTTGAAATAAGTACGTCCTCCTGTTCTTCGGACAAAAGATCGACTTCTACATCCTTTGTGAGCGACCTGGAAATATCTATTTCACTTTCCGTGAGTTCGTTTTTCGGAACATCAGAGCCTTCACTAGATTGATCGCGAACGACATCAATTTTCGCTTCCATCTTTTCAAACCGAGCAAACGGGGCCTGTCCGAAAATATTTTTTAGATAAAAGATCTTGATTGGCTATCAGCATCTATAATACATGAGCATAGTGAGTACAGAGTACACGAGTACACATATAAAATCCCACAATTTATAATCAAACCATGGAACCCGAAAATACCGCGCATCAGGACACCACTGCTCAAGTCAAACTTGATCCTATTATAGTCCTAAAGGCGCAACTCGACGATGCATTGGGGGGAAACAAGACTCAGTATTGGAATTATGTCCAAAGTTTTGCCAAGGGAAAAATTAATAGAATGGAACTCGATTTTTGGGCCAATTTGTTTTTGACAGAAGAACATGGTAAACGAGCGGAAATTCTTTATTATGTTCGAAAGCCGGACTGGTTACTTCTAAATGATATAATTAAATATACATTGTTATTCGAATATATTTAGCACATCTTCACGGGGCATTCGTTCGAGCGAGCATAAACAAGAACAAGAAAAAAGCGTGTGTCGTCCCTGACCGTAAAAAATTCGCTAATGATACTCGACGCGTATCAATGAAAGAGAAAAGTAATTGCACATCGCAACACAAAGTATTGAAGGGTATACTTAAATCAATGGAAAAAGATGACAGGGACCAATTACATTATTTTTTGAAGGTGCCCATAATGACTCTAAAAACAGCAAACCGACCGTGTAGAACCAATTTTCTTATTCAATGCTATTGTTATTTAGAATATTAGGAATCAACAAGAGTGTGACCTTGGAAAGGATAAGGTCTCAACAGCAACGCAGTCAAGTGACTTGAAAAAAGACGAAAAAACGATGAATTCAAGAAGTGAATTTCCTGGTTACGAACAAATGTATACACGCATGAAAGAGATCGCGTTGAACAATGAATTGATTGGTGTTCAGGAGGACTGTGTGCCCTTGATGCTCCTCGCATTAGAGGTACGAAAAGTTTTTTATGATAATAATTTAATAATGCCATCATCAGTGAAATGGTAAATCTTCTATTTCAAAATCAATTTCGAAGGTACACCTCAAAAATATATTGCATAGCTGTATTAACAAGATCCGAAAAGTTCAAGATTCACGTGAAGATAGCGGTGATCCTGTTCGCCCGAAGATCACGTTAAGGGATCTCGCATTCTCGATAGAATTGTCGCCTCACATATCGGCACTGTCATCTTCACTCGAAGAAAAAATCAGAGTAAATATGAAGCACGACGTTCGTCAAGTTCGATGAGGACAACAATGACCCTAAGATCTAATTCATCGTAAGAAAAAAGACTACTTTTCCATATAAATAATCAGCAGACAATGAAAAATCATTTTACTCATCCACTATAGAACGAGAAGCGGTGGCTTCGTATTCGTTGATACTGTTTACCAAGCTTTCTGGATCGGGTTTGGGGGACACGATGTGAACCCTTGTACCTTTAACCGCTTCAAGATAATTTCCCGTGGTCTTTCCAATGGCTGCGACCTTTGTCTCATCCCAAAATTCGGTTTTCTTAAGATCATCTAAAGCTACGTCTACACCACTAGGGCTAAAAAACACCGTCCAATCGATTCTTTCATATTCTTTTGCGGTTCTATCGAGTTCCGCGTAAAAACCTTCACGCTTTTCAGTTCTATAAATCAACAATTCTTCTAATTTTATGCCAACACTTGACAACCGGGATGGAAGTTCGTCACGACGTTTGTCGCCCACGAGAAACAAAAGGGATGTTTCCGGTTGAATGTTTAGTATTTTGTTTTGACCAATAAATTGAATTATGTATTCCGCAAGTAACTCTGAGGTGCCTGACTTTGCAGATTCTGGACCGAGCGTGTTAAAATTTAATTCTTTCAATATCTTCGAAGTTGATTTTCCTACAATGAAAATTGGCAGACTTTTCCATAACGTTGACATATTCTCTTGATCTAGTTATTATTACAATTATTTGATAAAAGTTGAGGCTTCTTCCTTTCACAAACGTTCTAAACAATATTTATTCACTTGCCATCAGCATTATGGTCAAAGGCTTTCTTCCAAGCAAGCATTAAACCTTCAACAGCTCTCTGACTGGTGATTATAACTCCACAATATCTATTTTCGGGTCCTCTTCTTAATATTTCCGTCAACTCTTCTATGTTTAGCAAACTATGAGACAAGACAGGTAGAAATGCGCATGAATATGAAAGCGAGGAAAATTTTGTTTCATAAATGTCAGTAGATTGAAATTCATTGTCCTCAGTATTGTCAAGGGATGTCTGTCTCTCCCTTAGAAGCAAAACTATTCCTTTACCCATAATAGATTGCAGATATTAATATGAACAAGTGCAAGTATATTTCTATTTCACGTGAAGATACACATATCCTACATATATATATCTATGTCGCCAGATGATCATAGATGTCTTAAATTTTCATGTCGCGACAAAGGAAGATCGTAGTAGCTTTGGATCCCTACTCTGCGGAGGCCCGTTACACTGTTGACTGGATAATTGATAACTTCTTAAGGCCAGAAAGAGATCATGTTCATTTGGTCACTGCGTTATCTCTAAATTCTGATTTTGATTCAACGGAGCTTGGTATTTTTCAGCTTTAGCATTCTGTGACTTTCTTAGCACTTTAAAAACTAATTCCATCCCATTATACTAGGCATAAATGTAAACTATGTTGCCGAATATGTTACGAGTTTGGAAGAGGATGTAATTGTGATTTTTTTTTGGTTTTTTCTTGTTAAATTGCTCTTTTAATTATTTAATGTCAATATTTCTTGCGAAGGCCGAACAAAAAGCACGTGAGGAAATGCAAAGATTCGTCGATAAACTTAAGGAAGCTAACGTAAAAAACATATAGATATATATTTTATAACCTTAGGATCAGCTTCGTTAGTCTTTCTTTATCTAACCATTTTCTAATACGCAGATCGACTCAAAGATTATAATAATCAAATCAAAAGATGATACTCGTAACATTATTGTCGATTATACCGAAAAAGAAAGGGCAGACGTTCTTGTCATGGGAAGTCGAGATCTGTCCATGTGGAAAAGGTTAGCTGGATTTGACTGCAAGTTCATACAGTTGATACATTTTGCTAAGTAAATTTTTTTTATCGGCATCTGTTCTATATAATAGATTATTTTTAGGGAGTTTTTCGGATTTTTGCCACCAAAATGCACATTGTCCCGTGTTGATAGTAAAAGGTTCCCATAAAACATGAGAATTTACCATACATATATTTTAATAAATTTGAGTAAATTTATTTTACTGATCCCTTCACAAATGACGCATAAGCCATAAAAATGACCTCATACACGCCATGGATTAAGCTTATTTAAAAAATTGCACTAGGAGACTTCGTTCGCGTTATAGTAATGCGGAATGTAAAAGTTTTTTCTGGCTCTTCGCATCCTGAACTTGCCGAACTCGTATGTGAAAAATTAGGGATCCCTCTTGCCTCAGTTGTGTTAAAGAAGTTTAGTAATAAAGAAACTTCTGTAAATATAGGCAAGTATATATAAATATATATTATGGAGACCAATATTCTTGTAACAGTGGCATACTGCCAAAATCTGGTGAATAAACTTGTACTAATTAATGCCTTCGCTCTTTTTATGATTCAGAATGTTCAATCCGTAATGAAGACGTATTCATTATTCAATCCGGTTCGAAACATATTAACGATCATTTGATGGAATTATTGATCATGATATCCGCTTGTAAGGGTGCCTCCGCGAGTCGAATCACTGGTAAAAAAAAAAAAAAAAGTTTCCTTCGTTTGTATTTGTAAATTTACGACAAATTGAGTAGGCTGATAATTTCGAACGCGCATACAGCTGTAATGCCTTACTTCCCGTATTCGAAACAAAGCAAAAAGAAAAGATATCGCGGAGCAATAACTGCAAAGAGTAAGTGTTTAAGCTAATGCTCGCCTTTGTTTCCAAGGACTTGATAGTAGTTACATTTACTGCCTTTGTTTAAGTGGTAGCAAATCTGCTTTCTGTTGCTGGAGTAGACCACATAATTACAATGGATCTTCATGCATCTCAAATGCAAGGATTTTTTAACAAACCAGTTGACAATCTATTCGCTGAACCCTCGATTGTTAAATGGATTCAAGATTCTGTACCTGAATACACTAACGGAGTCGTTGTTAGTAAAAATTCAGGCGGAGTAAAAAGGTCGGTATGTTAATTTTTATTCCGAATCACTTATATATATATATATATATGGTGTACAGTATATGACTTACAGTTATCGTGTATTATACCTACCAGAGTGACCTCTCTTGCTGATCGTCTTAAAATCGATTTTGCTCTCATTCACAATGATCGTACACGTGGCTCCCACAATACATGTTGTAACCTCAACATATCGGAAACATCCAAGAATAAATCAACCGATGAAAATAACAATAATTCCAAAATTAATGGTAATTGTATCATTACTTCAATTATCGACGGTGGACTCAATGACAATGAAAATGAAGGAGAATGTCATTCTTGTGGGGCCTCGACAGCAACGACAAATGAAACTTCTCTAGAAGAAGCTGACACAAATAGCCGTACTATCACGCTGGTTGGTGATGTAGCGGGAAAAGTGGTTTTTATTTTAGTGAGTATTATTTGTTCATTGGTATATTTTGTTTATATAAAGCCTTCATTATATAATTTAAAATTAATATAAATGAATTTTTAGGATGATATGATTGACAAGGCCGGATCATATATAGCTGCAGCCGACCATTTGATGAAAAAATGCAAAGCCAAACGTGTCTATGTGATTTGCACTCATGGACTCTTCAACGATGAATGTCTGAAAGAAATGGAAAGATGCAATAGCATATATAAGGTATAAAAGTCACGAATTTCTTGTGTTGAAATTGCGGCGTATCCATTATACAGGAAATTTATGCCACCCATCCATTTTTCTCTCTTTCACGACATACATTATACAGTTGGTGATCACAAATACCTTTCCCATTCCACTGGAAGACAATTTCCAAATCACCAAACTTGTAGTGATTGATGTTTCGGTAGTTCTTGCAGAGTCCATTAGGAGAATTCACAATGGTGAAAGTATCAGCTATCTATTTTAAAATTAATATTGCTTTATTAAAACTAGTGGAATTTAACTTTCCATTTTGGATGAAGGGGGGTGTTCCCCATGAAGGTGCGCTTGCAATAAATTTGAGTGAGATCTCTGAATTGTAAGAACTCTTACATTAGTTCCGCCGTATATAATATCACCTGATCGGTGATGATCGACACGTAACGAATTTCGAGAATTTTTTATTAGTAAAAACTTTTTTCTTACGAAGCGCCTATGAAATCCGGAATATTATCTTATTAATAAAGAAAATCTTGATCGTAGCTCCTTTAATTATTATTACAATGATACAGTAGATTCGCCGCCATCTTAATAACATGTGACCGTAAATGATCGTTACATAACAAATTTCGTAGATTAGGTGGATAAACTTTTAGGTATATGAGAGAACATATTTTTCATAGTGGATTGTAATAACAATCTTTAGAGGAAATTAGGCTTACAAGATGTAATACACTCCCTGGCCAAAAGTTTAGGATCACCTAATAAAATTTAAATTAATTTACTATTTATAATATAATTTTATAAAAAATTTTTTTTTTTATAATTTTTTTAAAATATTTACTGTCATTAACTTAATAATCTTTACCTAAGTAAAGGTACTAGTTGTTCTATTAGCTACTTATGTGTATTTGCTAAGTAACAGTAATAAAAAAAAATATGATTAAATAAAAAAAAACAAGTTTTAATATGTACTGGATCCAGTAATCAGTTTTTATTTATTTTTTTTTTTTATCTACACTAACTGAAGCCATTGCTTGATATACTTTATTATTGTAAAGATTTGTGACTTGATTACATATTAAATACATGATCATTACTATAATTTCTAACTTATTTTGTATATCAAACTACATTAAGATTTCTTTAAATACTGACTCTGAGTTTTTGGTTTATTCTATAACCTAGGTTATAACAAAGGAACCAAAACTAGCATGCTAAGACTCCACTAGTATGTTTAGCATCACTGCACTATTTAGATTTTATTTGAGGATATTTTTAAGGAGAAGGGAAAATGGGGAACTAGAGATAATACCTTTTTTCAATACATAAAACCCTACTTAAGATTATCTTACTGCTCCATACCACCTGCAGCTAACCTTTGACCATTTAATTCTTGCCTTCCTATTAATACCCATTATATCTCTACAGTTAATTTGCAGATTAACATTGCCTAGTACCTATATTGCTATAAGACTAGCTATGTTAATTACTATTACCCAACTATACGAATATTTAAACATCAAGTAAATGTGCCTACATGTCAGGTGGGACTTTCTGCAAGGGAGGAAATCCTACTACTAGTTTAAATTCACCTAACCTACTAAGTCCATATTGCAGAGAGCAATATAGTATAAAATGTTATTATAAAGATTAATTCCAGTCATTTCAGTTACCTGTTATTACCGATTCTCGAGATGTACCACTAGCATAATGCAGTACTACTATTGTTACCATCTGTGGAACTGGCGTTCTTGCTTGGATTCCGATTTAATCTTGTAGATTCTTACTAGATTCACTTGGATTAATGGTTTTTGTCTAGTCTTCTTACCATCTGTGATTGATACCTTGCCCATTAGCCATATGATTAAGTTCCATGAAACACCACCATTGGAATAGATCTACAAGCTCCAGATTGTGATAGATCAGCTTAGAATTAATCTCTTTATATTGTGTGATGGAGTCTGCCATCAACAGTTTGGATTAAAGTTTATGGGCTTATTACCAGAGTTAGATCAGAAGCCTTTCCTCACGCAATCTTCCTTGCTTCAACCTGTTTTTAATCTGTGATTGTTAAGAAGACCAGAGGTCCCATCTTCATGCAGCCTAACTAAATTTGGAGATAGATTTGTCAGCTGATTGGGTACGATATAAATTGGAAGCTGGTCAATCTATTATGAAGGTGATAAATTTTTGTAACCAGATGGGGTTAAATCCTAGACCTTTACCTGGTGACCTATGGAGCATTATCACTGTACTATAGACCTATAGGTCTCAGAATAATTTCATTTTTATATAATGACTTAATAATTTATATTTATGAAGTAATTTTCGAAAAGTGATAAAAAAAAGTTTGCAGTTCTAATATAATATAATTTCTTGGAATTTGTATTATATAAGGTTTCTAAAGTTCTTACTTTTTTTTTAATGTCAAACAAAAAACAAGAAACATAAAATTTTTTAAAAACTTATTTTTGATTCTGTCAAAAAAAAAAAAAGTTAAGAAAGTACTTTGAAGTCTTTTAAAAAGATAAAAAGTACTCAAGAAACCCAAAAGTTATCTATTAAATAAAAACCTTCGGCTTCTATCAAAATGGAAACAGAAACATCTTGAAAGTAATTAAAATCTCCTGGATGACATGTTTTCAAAAAAATGTCTGAAGAAACTTTAAATATATTTAAAAATTTGTTATAATTTAAAATAAATATTAACTTATAACCTGTGGGTCCATAATGTAGTGGTTAACACTCCACAGGTCAGATCACAAGATACCAGTTCAACTCCAGGTGAAGGCAGTTGAACCGAATTAA